CGATAGTCAAAGGTTTTGACGGAGCCATTTTGGTTCTCGAAAGGAAAAGGTAGGATGAATGGCAAAAAAAAATTCAATAGGGTAAAAAGGAGGGATGGGCGGAAAAAATGAGAAAAAGGGTAGAAAATCAAATTTCTGTCCCTCGCAGAAACGAGCATGATTTGAGGCGAATCTGATTGCAGTCAAGGAATCTAAAGCTTGGCTGACATACGTGAATATCAATCTGCTCGTGGAGATTCTTACATGAGCTGGAGAGAGTCTCACTGGTTCCTAGTTCGAAATACCTGAAAAGCGGATGAAGTGGGAATTCATGTCTTCAATAGCATGAATTTGGATCGCTAACCATAACTTGTTCCTCATTCTACTGCTGAATTTTTCAGGATATTTTTCTCGCATCACGTGAAATCGATGGGCTATTGACGCATCCTGCAATGTGTTTTGTAAAGAACAAAAATTGCCATGACACCATTCATGAAGCAGCACGAACCACACCAATACTGAAGTAGTTGTTGATGATCTGGTAAGGCTGTGAATCCCCTTTTTCCTTTTTTGTGCCTCTTCCTTTGGCATAATTTTGATGAACCATCTGTCTAAATCCACCTGAACAATGTATTGCTACAAAAAGAACAACCAGAGAACAGTTGGCCGCTTACCAAGGTGGCTTTCTCGATTTGACCAAGAATCTTGTAGAGACTTTCGTTCTCGTAGCCTCCACCCCATCGTAGACATCTGGCTAGATCGTTACCGGTTCCTAGAGGGAGTATCGTCACGGGAGGTCTTCCATGCACAAACTGTGCCTCCATTTTGTCTGTAAATCAAAAGACTGCAGGCATGGATAGGTAACGTGGAAGGCGCGATTACAGACCCATTGACTCAAGGACCCATCCAATTGTACCATCTCCGCCGCATACCAAAACATTGCAATCTTTGACCGTAGAGAACAGTTCAAGTCTTAAAAACTATCTCATTACATTACAGTGATGACTGACAGCGATTCTCTCACTATAGCTGACGATTTGAAAGCAGCGCAAGCGATCGCCATCTTAGGTTACAGGGTTAAGAATTGTTAGGATATGTGGTAAGCGGAATACCAGTCAAACAGCCGAAGACGCCCTCAGGCAGTACTCTTCAACAGGGTAACCACACACGCTGTCCCGGACTTCTTCGCTCCAGCGGAAATTCTCCAGATTTCCGCCCTCTGGCGCCGAGGATCGTTGTCGAGAAAACTCCCAAAAGTCGGCTAACGTCAAGTCGAGACGTGAGATTCCTTATGAGCTCTCGGGTCACAGTTACGCTTATAGTTGCCTATAGTCAAGCATTTTGCAGCTCGTTCATCTCCACCTCAGGAAGGCTCTCGGTAATCAACGATGAATGAATCCGTCGTGATTAGAACACTGGTATGCCGCTTGGCTTAAAGACAGCTCCCGCGATAAAAGTCTCATGGATAGCTGCTTTCCAATTATGAAACAGTAGCTGATAAGTAATCTCTCCAAAGAAGAAAACAGGCAAGAAGCGTCCTCCAGAACAACATAAACAAAATCGCTCCCTCACAGTCACACCTCCCTGCGGTCTCTGTGCAACCCTAGCTCACAAATCTCTCTATCACATCTCGCAGTAGTTGATATCATCCAGTGCAAAAAAAAGAATACAAAAAGAAAACAACAAAAACGCAGAGGAAAAACTCTTGGAAGGAAAAAGGAATTTTATCAACGCGGTGTCTGAATTTGGGATTACGGTAGCGCACGTTTTGTGCGTCGAGGTTTTGCATCACGAAAATTGCGTCACTCGTGCTTTTTACGCGTTTCACCTCGCGAAATGAGTTGAATTGAATGTATATACCTCCAATGAGTAAACTGTAATAAAGGGGAGCAGAATTATCCATGGGCATTAGCAATGCCCGCCGCCGACTAAGAACAACTGAGTGGCCTCCGTCGGAGGACATCTAGCAAGTAAGGCGGTCCAACTGAGCAGGCGTTAGAACTAGAACTTACAGCGGCTGTAGCTCGCTTCTCGCTCGCTGTGCAGACGAATAGAGTGGGACAGTCTCTAGCTTGGGGGCTGTACTACTTGCACAAGGAAGGACGACCATGTACTACTCGAGCGCGGGGGCTGTCTTTAACGGACAGAGCACTCATAACCACTGAATATGCTCGTGTGGTAATCAGATGGGCCTATGCCAGAACAACGGTGGGGCATGGTCTCTCAGCCTTGGCCTTCAATTCCTCGGTAGGGCTCGATAACATCTTCCATCTGTATTAGTTCACTAGATGCATGCAAAAGAACTGTACGAGAATCGCTACAGCTCTACTCCACTTCATCGACGTCTACCTGTCGTGGAAAAAGCACAATTTAGAGGGTATAGCATAAAAGTCGCTGTATTACAGGCACTCAGTTCCACACCCTGTCATCCACTTGAAGGCGCACTCCGCAATTACTGGTTGTGGATAGGAAGGTTCAAACATCTTCTTTCAGGTCTTGATTGATTCAGCATGAAAAGCATATGAAGCTTCCGAAAACGCCCTGAAGTAAGGTCCTTCTCTTTGCAGTTGGTCCCGCGCACTGGAGGAACATGCGGGTCGATGGGAAAAGGAATACTCTTACCGGGAAGGAACCATAAGCGAAAGATAATAGGAAAGAGATATAAGTAAAGGAGACATACACCAACACTCTTACTAACATCGCTCATGGATAGGTGGAGCCGTTGCCAGTGGGTGGGATCGTGATCACGTGCAACTGTCTCAGCGTCCTCGTCATTCCATCTTCCCCACCCCTCCCCCCTAGCTCCCAGCCATTGAAGCGGTATAGCCTCTGCGATTTCGTCGAACCGTCTAAGGCATGTTCGGCACGGTTAGTACAAACCTTGAGACTGACAGTCATTTCGAGGGGTTCAAAAAAGAGTAAGGGTGGACAGTGACTTGGTAGCGAGGAAAAGGGAAAGATATGGCCAAGAACTTGGAATGAGGAGCCAGGCTGGACGAGTTTTACGGACGATGCCAGAATATCGGCACTGTCGCCGCCTGCGTGCATCTCTTGGCCCAGTTATATTTCTTAGCACCCTTTCTGCACTAAACGCGTGGTGCAACAACTCGAGGAAAAAACGAAGAAATAGCATAGAAGTAAACTTGTGAAGAAGTCCGCAACTTTCTCGAGAAAACTGCAATTACCGTACAATTCAACGAAAGAGTGCACCAAAAATTTGCATCAACCGTGAACTGAAGCAACTCAGAACGCGTTCCATCTTCGAAATGGATTGCCTTTCTACTGTATGAGCCATTTTCTTTCCGAAAAAGACACCACCTTATGCATAAGAGGACGCGAGTTGGAAGACGATGGACACCGGTACGGTACGAATGAAGGCCGTCTGCGCTTACAGACACGACCGCCAACATATCTCGTCAACTCAAAAGGACCGTATGCTCCAACTTACGACCGCAACGCACTAGCCCCTCGTTCTGAAGCTGTGCGTGGGAACAGTCGCTAAGACGAGTGCGGACTGATTAGCGCGAACGAATAACGAACTAGCAACTAGTCGAGGGCTCCGCTGTCTTAAGCGACACTACGCCAAACATAATTATGAGTCTATCAGGCCCCCCCCCCCAGCTGTCGTGGGTCCCCGCCCCAAAACTGCACGGGGTCAGAGTACGGGACCGTGGGAAAGTCGTAATTCCTTGCTACGCCGCCCGTTTTTGCAAACTCACGTTTTTACTAACACCGTTCGCGCGGCGCGGTCGCGTGCAGCTCTCTTGGCTTTTTGCCAAGTCCTGTAATTGCGCTTTGGAATACAAGTACAACGCAATTTCTTTATGCGGATAACATTTTAGGTTCTGCAAAATAAGAACTGAAGATGATGACGAGGGCTAGAACTCAAGAGCAACTGTGCTGCTTCTGCAACAGCCCTCGCAGGCCGCGCATTCCCACAAAACATCAAAATAAAAACGGCCTAAGCGTCCCACGTCAAAATAAAAACGTCCTCAATATCGCGTAGCATTAAAATGAAACTTTACTCGTCCATCGTTATACCAACAGCACTCTATGCAAGCGAAACATGGAAAGTGTTACTGCCAAAAAGAGTCGCAAAAATGAATACGCCTTTAATCAGCGATGTCTTCGGTAATCATGAAGATTACGATTACATGGCACCGGGCTCACGGAATGCAGGAAGTTTCTACGACGCGTGCTGTCATGAGCAGCTTCACGTGATTGTTGCGCACGGCGTTAGGCCTTCGACTGGCGGCCACATATTGCCGCCATTGCCCACAACATCGAATCCCAAGAGTGGCCATGTTTTGGATTCCTCCAGGAGCCAAGCGAGCACGAGGCCGTCCCAGAAACACGTGGAGACGTACATTCGAAAATGACTTGCGAATCATGAATGCTTCTAGGGACCAGGCCGAGGAAATCGCGCAAGACCGACAGCAGTGGAAAGAATTCGAGCACGAGAGCAAACTAAGTCTAAGTAAGTAAGCGTCCCACTCGTTAGTATGAAGTATTTCTATTAGCATTAGAGCCGGATTCGAGCCGGATCGCAGAAATGCACACGCGATTTTAATTTATTGCGTTTCCTTAGTTTTTTTCAATTTTGTTTTATTTACATCTACATTCGTGTTCTTCATTTCTAGCCTTTGTCATCTTCATCACCCTCTATTCGGACTTTGAAGCATGAGCAATACCTCAAATGTTAGGAAATTGCGTTTTGCTTGTATTGTCATGTTTTATTTTGTCCGTGTTTTTATTCTCATGTTTTGTGGGAATGCGCGGCCTCTGATGGATACTGCAGATGCAGCCGAGTTGCTCTTGAGTTCTGGCCCTCGTCATCATCTTCGGTTCTTATTTTGCAGCACCTAAAATGTTATCCGCATAAAGAAATTGCGTTGTACTTGTATTCCAAAGCGCAATTACAGGACTTGGCAAAAAGCCAAGAGAGCTGCACGCGACACGCGCCCGCGCCGACGGTGTTAGTAAAAAATGCTGGCAGTTTTGCAAAAACGGTGCGCGTAGCCAAGGAATTACGACTTTCCCCACGGCCCCGTACTCTGACCCCGTGCAGTTTTGGGCGGGGGCCACGACACATCGACAGCTGAGGGGCTGATAGTCTCATACACCCTCAATGTGTTGAAGGCGCTACCATGCTTCTTGAAGGGAAAAGCTAAACAACCGTGTTAAAGAACTGCTGCTAATATCAGCATTAGAAACACCGGCCAGACTGCGAACTTTTACTGATTGCGCCAAGGTGTGTTTCCTTCGAGAGCGGAGAGTATAGTTAGTAAGCAGCGGAGATATAAGACCTATAAGTAGATAGAGAACTCACACTACAGAGTAACTCACCCAGGTTCGGGCCCAGTTTTTGACAGATCGTACACCTGCCGTGGATTTAAAAGATACGCGAACTCTGTAGAATCCGCGACCCCTGCTTGCTCCACTTTTTGCGTTATTTGACCAAGAACAAGCAAGGGCGTGCGTGGATGCCGGGCCCTTACCGCTGAATCCGTTTAGTAAGATGGGATCGACTCAAAGGTGACTCTAGCCCTTCACCTTTGAAGTAAACCTTGCCTTGGCTCGTTGCTTTTGAATGATATTGAATTCCTATCTAGGAAGGCAGGGAATATATGAGTAGGTGGCAAAACATGATAAGAGAGGTTTCCTAGGTCGCATTCTTGCCCAATTGAAGCCATACATCTGTGATGAACCTGAACAGTCATTAGTCAGATGCAGGATTTGAAGTAGCCCACACGAGGCGTTGCCCAGGAGACGGGGCACTCACTGGCAAGGCTCAGAACACAACCCCTGCGGGGTGTGACGGTAGAACCACGCGGCGTCGCGCGCGACATCTGCAAATACCCTATGGTTGCTATCGGCGCTCGCTCGCGAT